ATTTATTTTTTTAAGGATCGTATGAAAATAAATTTTATCCATTCTGATGATTCCTTCAAGGTATTACAGATTTTACAAACAGGAAATGTACACAATAATTTTATTACTAATTCTTACACCATTCTCGAATAATAGTTATTTCATACCATGAGTTAATAAATAAAATATATTTTAAGCCCTATATAATAGATCGATTTTCAATTTTTAAATGCTGCAGATATCTGATAATTCGGCACGCTTGGAACTTAGGGTATGCCGTATTATTAGACTATGTAATGCGGCAAAAGAATTTTTTTCGAGTTATTGCATATGTTGAGGGATGAAAAATTTACATCTAATTATTCTTCATACATTTTAAAGAGTAAGGATTATAAGTAGATTGTTTTGTAGTTTAATTGCATTTAATAATTTTTTTTGCTTCAAAGCCATTATTAATACCAGTTATCACTATCCTGCTGGCCATGATTGACTTTCTTTAATGTGTGATGAGTACAGACGCCTTTCTCTTTTATCTTCTGTCTGATTTTGACTAAACTATCAGTTTAGAAAACGATTTTTGTATATTAATAGATTAAGTGCTAATTTAGATTGCTTATATAGGCTGAAAGCTACGACAGATTGTCGTAAAAATTTTGATCATTATAATTTTCCAAACTGAAGATCTTATTCGCAAAAACTCATAGAATTAATGTTTTAGAAAACAGTAGCAGTCTTCAGAAGTGGTTCGTAGCCATTAAAGTCCTAAAATAATACTAATAAAGGTCGTGATAGGTATACGTATAAATACCTATCACAATGATCTTTAGAGACAATATATGTATATTCTTTACTTCTAATATGGTTGTATGTGTACATACGTGTACCCATGTCCTTGCAGAGGTTTTAAATATTATGAAATTCAATGAATAGAACGGTAATTTAACAGTGGTTCAGCTATTACAATGATTCGATGGTAATTCAAAGGCGGAGTACCTTAATTTAGGAAGGTTATTTTGTATTTAAGGCAAAGACAATTACCAAACCTACCAATCAGGAAGCAAAGACAGTATTGGCGGCTTACAAAAAGTGTTCATGAATAGTGGATAAAGGCTTTAAAAGATGATCGTACTTTGATTCATAAATTTCTCAAAATAGAGTACAGAAATTTGCGAGAGTAATTACAGTTTATGCTAGTTTTTACTCCTGTAATAGAATTTTCTCTTACATTTATAACCTTCTATCCCACGTTAGGAAACGTACTGGATATCCCAAGTACAACCGTTCTTCGTAATGTCACTGGAAAATAAGCACCAAAATTTTGTTTGATCTCTTGCACGAAACTGTATTTTTTTAAAATAATTCTCACAATTTTGAAGAAAGAGTTATATAGGTTTACATTTCGAGAATTCGATCGACGTTTGGTATATCTGCCATCAAGCTATAACGAAAAATATGTGGCGGGGTAACTAATTATAATAAAAAAATGTGATGGATATTTTAGTACCTGCCATGAATCTAGTAAAAAATGTACAAAATGTATGTTTCAGCGTCTACTACACGCTCAGCTGCATTAGAGACTGCACTACTATTGCTAAAAGCATTGCTGACAACCTGGAGTGACTTCTTTCCTTGGACACCATGCCGTCAGCAGTGTGCTCTGCAGATATATTAATTTACTTAATGTCTTGTTTTTTTAGTTTTGTTTTAGTTTAGTTTTGTTTTGTTTTTAATAATATTTAATTTTATGATTAATCCAAAAGTCTTTTAATGTATCCCACAATTTTTATGTATTTGTTCCTCTTTTCTTCTGTACCTGATTATATAGCATATTCTTAATATAACTGTATGCCTAACATGTACCATAATAGTGTATTCCTAACATGTACCATAACTGTATAACTGTATGCCTGACATGTTACATAATAAGTGTTCCCCTTAGTCTCAGCAGTCCCCACCAAGCACCTTCTTTCCATGTTCTGGTCCTTATTTCAATGTTCCTCGTTTAGCATGGTCAACTGCAGGAGGGTCCAGTACTAAGCACTTTAATTATATTTATTTATGCATTTATTTTTAATTAAATCGAAGGGATCCAAGAGGCTGAAAAGCACCTAACCCAGTGGGCCAGCTGTTCCGTCGATGGCGAAAAGAAAGAAAGTGTCTACCACACACTAAGAATAATGCTGGATGTTTGTTTACCTACCATAGACTAAAACTGATGAGTGGTTTAGTACCTGACGCCAAGCTGTCACCAAGAATATATTGGATTTTTGACTAACAAGAATATCCTAAGAATATAATCAATATTTTAGTACCTGTCATCAAACAAATGCAAAGAATATGAATAAATGTTTCATTATTTACCATATTCAAAGAATACAGTGAATGTCTGGCTTCCTGTCATATACTATGCAATGCAGGTGTTTTAGTATCTTCCGGCAGACAGTCACCAAGTGAAGGTTTCAGTAACAACAACACATTAAAAGAGTATGGTGGATTTTTTAGTACCAATTTTTTAGTACTGATGATATCAGTCTAAAAGGAAGAATATGGTGGTTTCTTTCAGTGGAATATCAGTAGTATTTCAGTGGTATTTAGTGGTTTCAGTGGAAGAATATGGCGGTTTCTTCTTTTTCTTTCAGTTAAAGAATACGGTGGTTGTTTGAATACTATGTAAATTAGAACATGGTTGATGTTTTAACATGTACCATTAATGGCAAGCTGCCACCAAGAATACAATGGATTTTGATAACTGGCTTTACACTAAGAATACGGTGGATGTTTGATTACTTGCAGTCAATTTAACACGAAAGATTGTTATTGTCTGAGCACATTGTCTAAGCATGTACCATTAACAAAAGACATAATGGATTTTTGATTACTTACCGCGCACCTAAGAAATGATGGTATTTTAGGCTCCACTTTTAAACTGCCACCAAGAATATTCTGAAATTTTGAGTGAAATCTATTCGTGTAGTGGATGTTTTAGTATCTGTCATCAATCTAATTTTAATAATGCTGAATGTTTTCTGTATTTACGAAATATGATGAAAATTCGTACTTAAGGAATATGATGGATATTCGTATGATCAAGCTGATATTTGGATAACCTCAGTGAATACGGTGGATATGTCATATAATATTTACGGAATATGGTGCATACTTGTATACAGAGTATATGGAGTATATGGTGTATATTTCATTACCTGCTATTCGCTAAGAGTATGGTAGATATTTTACAACTACCATTAAGCCACCACCAAGAATACGATGAAAATTTTGAGTACCCACCGTGCACTAAGAGTACAGTGGTTTTGTTACTTGCCATCAGTCTCATGAGATAAATATGGTAAATGCTTCAGAATCTACCATAAATAAAGAACAGGGATGTTTGATTACCTTATTTACTACGAAACTGTGGATGTTTTATTACCTACCATTAAGCTGTAACTACTGATACTCTACATTTTTTACTTTGGAATACTCTGTAATATTGTGAATGTTTGAGTACCGAATACACACTTAGAGGACGGAAGATATCTGAGTGTTCCTCTTCAAGCTGTCATCAGGTATACGGTCATCCCAGAAGAGCCATTATTGATGGGGTCGATAGTAAACAACAGCCAGTGTTGTCTTCTTATGTGAAACTATTTTCCTCTTGTGTGGTTCTCATAATTTCGAGGAAAAATCGTAACGGCTCATTTTTCAGGTATATGAAGAGATTCCTCACAACAGCAGCAGAATGATATCACGCATCTTAACTCAAGGTAACGGAGCAAGCTGTTTGGAAATCCGGTACTTCCTGTGAAGGTTAGGAGGAAGATAGTCTTATAGAAATTTGTTATAATCCTCTGTATCAACAGTGGGGTTCTGAGGAAACTGCTTAATGGAAATGTACCAACACTTCCATATCATTTTGAGATTAGTGAGTAAATGAAATAGATTTTATATCCTATGGAGGTAATGGCTACTATCATCGACTGGATTCTTGCTTCAGTTATGGTATGACGCTAAACATTTTATCCTAAAACTGAATGTATAAAAAAGGCTTAAGTTAGGAAATTTTCCGGGCTTTAAGCGTTCGTATGATAACATTATTAAGAATAGTCTGGTGGTGGTATCCTAATAGCTTTATGTAATTATGAAATGCCTTATATAAATTTATTACTTTTGATGTACTTCTAATATAACCTGCTATCATGTTTTTCACCTTTGCCATGCATCTGAAAAACGCAGAATGCCACTAACAGAGCTATTTTGGTGAGGTCAGAAATTCAAAGCATGCCTGGAATGGGTCCTTATGATGTATAATTAATACATGCAAGTAGCAGCGGAAGATCTTGCGTATAATTCTTGATACAGTTAGTATTTAAAATTTCCTTTCTCATAAAAGGTACTAAATGACGCCACATTGTCGAAATAAAATATAATGGTAAACTCGACATTATTTTTGTTTGGATAACTGGATCTAGCCTTTTTCCGTAGTTGCTTTTAAGTAATAATGGGGAATATAAGGGTTTCAAGACATTATTACATGTGGTTTCGCCCTACAGTAATCCCATCCATGCTGAAAATTTTTATTGGATAGCACTAGGAAAACCTCATGTTCAGTTCCAGTGAAATGCACTTTTGGGTTTTAAAGATTCACATTCATAAAAAATCTAAGGAATCTACAATGTTACACGTAAATATGGTATCACTATTTCTTACAAATCATTTGTATTTTGAAACCATTCATAAGGGCTATCGAACGAATACAGTGGACCCTTTCAAGGCGATCACCTCGGAAAACGTACAGTATTTTTGAAAACATACAAAAATATCGATATTATTCAATACCACCTCTCTTATACCACTATTCGTACTGAATATCAGAAATATCTGGAACTGTGAGTGGCTATCTTAAAGGGAGTTCACTGTATTTTGTTCGACGTAATTCAAATTTCTACTGAAAGCAAGATGTGATTTCTGACAAAAGCTGTAAAGGTTGTGTCATGTCTGTGAATTTAGGGCTTTCAAGACTATTAAAAGAATAAACTCTTTATTAATAAAAACTAAATAAAATAATATTGGGTAGTCCAGCGAAAGTTAGCCGTTATGACATGCAGGCTGAAAGAATTGCAAGGAGAAGCTGGCCGGTGGGCACTCAGTGGGCGGTTACTCCGGATGGATACTTGAACTGAATTAAGATATTGGGTCCCTTTTCATGCACGAAGCCCCTGCGAACACACAACAGCACACAGTAAGACAAAGCAAAGGACAAACACACACAAAGACGCTCATAAGCATATCCGGTTATTTTACACACATGTCCAAAAATTAAAGTTCGAAATGTGTGCTTTGCTTTTTTATTAAGACTAATTGAATAAAGTATAACAGTATGCGTTACTATATGTATGCGTTCGCCAGAAACATTTAGCTAAGAAAAATTTTAATCTTAGGCAAGTAGAAGCTGATAACAGTGTAGATCAAATAGGCTTTGTATACCTTGTAGAAACTTGACAAACGATTTGTTCCTAAAAGCAAGGAGCTGTCCAGCGTATATCCCTGTGTCCCACAGAAGTGTTCTTAATTTATGTAAAGCTGACAAAACCTTAATAGGTGGTGTGTATTGCAAAAGAAATCAGGAACTGTTCAACGCATAGATCATTTTGTCCTATGCATATATTAGCGACTCATTTCAGTGCATAACCATATGAGGACTTCAAGATGGAAGTTCTTAAACCTAAGTCGCAAGATAATTCTACATTGACAACAGAATAGTCTCACGGCGTTGTAATCAATGAGATTGAAGAATTAGAGATTTTGACTTTGGTCGCGCTAAGGTAACGAAATACTTCTATTGGTTTTAGTGACGAGATGCCAGGCTGTACTTTGACAGGCAACTATTTTTCACAGCTGCTGGAAGAAATGAATGAAGAAGAACGATATAACAGATATCGTAATGAGAAATCTATACCAGAAGACAAGAGATTTATACGCTTCTAACCTCTTACAACAGAACTTCTAACCTCTTACAACTGAACTTCTAACCTCTTAAAACTGAACTTCTATAAACAGCATGGTTCACGGCCTAATTACCTCCTGGGCCAATAAGGTTCATATTTAAGCCCTAGAATTTAGGAGGTTATAAAAATAATCCTATACTCTATAATTTTGTTTTCTGTTTGAGCGAGAAAATGAGTGCTTGGAGTTGCTGAAAAATTTTGTCTTTAAGACCCCTGATTGGCATAATTGGGCTTGGCATTCCTCGTCCAGAAAGTATGCTTCTGTTGTTTTTATAGAATGCAATTTGTAAAGCCTTCATCTCAAAGAAAAGAAAAGGAAATCGGTAATCATCATTTTAACTATGGAACCGGACTCTTTTGAAGTGGGTTGATGAGACTGGGACGGCATAGTGATTAATCATTACACATTGTTTCGCATATCCCAAAGAGGATGTTAACACTGTAAACCATACGAACAAAATCCTGCACTTCTACATCAGGCCTCTTATAATAGGCTATTTATCCTAATTTTCTATTAATGGACACTAATCCCTCATTTTCACAAGCTGCCTTTCATAATATCTTTTCATAGATTGAAAGAATTTGCAAACAAACTGGCGACTAGGTGTTCAGATATAAACGTTATAAAGATTTCATTGGCCATTTCTTTAGAAAGCAAACTACCGCCGGTTAAACATCACCTGAAAGTTAAGGCAATGTCTGAAAAATTGAATGTCCTTCTTACTCGAGGTTACACAAATGGCCTTTTTAGGAATTCGTCTCATCATTAGCATTCTTGTATATCCTTAGTAAATCAGTAAGCATATTAATCGCATTTTTATATTTATTTGCTTGCGTTTTAACATTTTTCAATATATCTCCCTGTATATAATTTTTTTAATATTTTCTTTGTATTCAAAATCTTCTTTACTTAACGCGCTTAACATTCTTATCCGTTTTGGTGTATATTGCCTTATGTGGCCGATTCTAGAACTTTGATTTTGGACATGCGTATGTTACATAACAATAAATAAAAATATTTTAAAATAATTGCAGCATTTTATGACTCATGCATTAAAAAATCTTGCACATTTTATCTCATGCAACAAAACATAAGGAAACATGCAATATAATGTCTTACATAGCATATAACATGCAGAAAGTGCGACAAGCAAGCGGGGATCACACCTAAGAGGTCACACCTTATCAGAGGATAATCAAAAACTTGCAAAATGCATCACAACTGTAAGCTTACCACACTAACACACCCTGTCGTCTAAGATCAAGAAAATAAGTTTATGTAGCCGCGTATACATATTTTACTTGATTAATAATCTGAATTAATGACTGTATATGACATGTTTATTGGCTTACAATCGAAAATAATTCACTGTAAAAGAAGTAACATATCATACATATTGATCACCTTTATATGAATTAATTCAGCAGCAAATTTATCGTGCTTGTATAATAATATGTCCCCACATACAGGGTGCTTCACAGGGTATAGCGAATGTTTTAGCTGATTAAATTCTTCAACGGGTGGAGCAAGTGACTGTGCAGGCATCCAAAGTAAGTTATTTATGGACTCTTGGTTAGTTAGGAAGTTAGTTAGGAAGAATATTTTGATTTCGTCAAAATGTACTGATATTCAATCAAATTGCGTGATTTTTACTCAAAACGTTGTATTTTTGTGACCAACAACCTGCCGAAATACTCAGGAAGTGGCCTAATGCTTTTAAAAGTAAGCCAAAGCCATCTTCAAGCAAGTTAAGAGCATTAGCTGGCATGTTTGAACAAACAGGTTCAGTGGCTGATGACAAAATGGGCATGAAGACCAAACAAAAGACAGCAAGGACGCCAGATAACATCGCCAGTATCAAAACAATAATGGAGAAAGAGCTATCAATATCAACTCTACACTTGCCTCAGCAACTTCAAATCAGTGTAGGCATAGCATGGAGGATAGGCCACAAAGATCTTGACATTTGACCTCAGAAAATTCAATTAAGTCGCCTTCTTGTCACCAGATGCTATTGAGAAACGACTGTAGTTTGCGACTTGATCGACACTGGTTTTCAACTGTGCCGATAATGTTTTTTGTTTCCGTTGAGGCACACTTCTAGTTGGATGGCTAAGTCTTATCAAAATTATCGGATTTGGGGCAGTGAGAAGCCAGAATTTGTCATTGCCAAGCCTCTTTATCCAAAAATGGTCATTGTCTGTTGTGGCTGGTGTGCTAGTGGCATTTTGAACCGATATTTTATGAACAGATAGTCATTTCTGAATATTATCTCGACTTCTTGAGAACAAGGTTCTTTCCTGTTACCTGTAATGAACATTGGATCCAAGACATATAATTTCATCAAGAGAGCTCCTTCACATTCAATAGGAGACGTCCTGGGCTTACTCAGAAGCCCCTGAATCACTTTGACGATGGACGTTTTTGGCCTCCCTATAAGCCTTGATTTTCTACCACCTCTTTTTGGGGGCTATGCTAATGATCAAGTCTATAGAGATGGGCCAAAAACCATGGAAGATATAGAAAAGAGTAATAAGGTCGATTCCAACAGGCTAACTCAAGCAAATTATCGCGAATTTCGAGCAGAAACTTCGCTTCGTTGTCTTCTCTGATGGCAAACATTTTGAGAAACTCATCTTTTAATTTGCTTTACTCTCATGTGTAAATCCTGAAAGTTTGAAATAAAAATCTTATCCCACTCAAAAGTTAGTCAGTGTTTTCTTTTTCTATACCCTTTGAAGCATTCTGTATATGGCAAATATGTAGCTTATAAGCATTAACAGTAAAGTAACTATATACTGTAAATAAGTTTGTTTTTTATTTCGCTAATCATTGCTTATTTATAACAAATGCCTTATACGTTATATCTCTCTCCACGCACAGAAAACAAGATATGCGTTAGAAACTATATAAATAAAAATTATCTTCCTTGTTTTATTCATCTGCAATATATACTGGTTGTTTGTTTAGACAAATAATGCCACTTCATTGTTCAGCACTGTCGAAAAAGCGTATTCACCATTTCGATTTACGAAAATAAAAATACTGTATTTTTAAATTGTTGTTGAAGAGCTTAAATGAGAAAGTGAAATTCCCCCGTTTATGCTGAGATAAGTATATTTTATTGGCTTGTTAAAAACTGACAATTCTGTTATCCGAATCTTTCGATTATCTGGTTCATTTGTGGTTCGGATATTTAGAGTTCTATATTTGTCACTGTGTAAATCAACAATGAGCAAAACTTCCGTTCTTTGCAACTATAATGCTATAAAATTAGCCTCACCAGAAAAAAAGTCTGGAAACCTGTAACGCCTTGAAACAAAATGCATCATTTAAACATCATTTAAAATTCTTTACATCAAATTTGTAAAAAAAATCTTAAAATATCAAATATTTTTGAAAAATTTCACTTTTCATTTTAAATTTAAATGGTTCTAGATGGACATTTTAAATTTAATGACATTCGACGGACAAATTTTACGGACATTTTAAATGACTTTTTAAATAAAACATAATAGGTACTGTTTCCATTTCATTAAAGTATTTTTTTTTTTTTTGAGTAAAACTGAAACTCTACTCAAAAATAATTGCAAATTCTAAAGCTCAGGCATTTGTTTCCGTATTTCTTTTCGAAATAAAAAATATCAAAATGTTTAATATACATATATATATTTCAAAATTTTTTTAATAGAATATATATATATATATATATATATATAGACTTGCACGCTTTATGCTCCCATAAAATTTCATTACAATCATTATTATTTTACATTGGATGCACATGACAATGATCAAAAATAAAAAAGGAATTGCAGTTCACTATTTTATAGGTTGTTAGAAACTTATTTTATTTGATATTTATGGTATAAAATACTTGTTGCAAAATATTTCCATGAAACTTAATCTTAAGAACATAAGTAAGTAAATAAATAAATAAAATAACCTTTCTGACAGATGAAAAATTTGTTTATCAATTTAACATACGCTGACTGCGTTTTCGGTATTTGTACAACCCATTCATTGTAGGAGTACGTTTTTAAAATACTTGATTTTACAGACCGTAGTTCAAAACATTTTCGAATCAATAGATATGTGTAGATTGCAGCACTCATGAATATGTATACATATAAATCGTGTCCAGTCTTTCTGCAGCTATTATTTTCTCAATCGGTAGTAGCACGCATGTACTTTCAGTGGCAAAAATGTTTTAGTGACATAAATATAGACGATTTGACATTTTTGAATTAAAAAACTCAGGTTCATAAAAATTAGTTTTAGCATTTTTACGTTCCCCCAGTCCTGTAATTAGTTACATATAGTAAAAGTTTATACTTATTCTAAAAAATAAAAGACAAAAAGTTTGATTCCCAATGCGACAAAATCTAACCGAGATGTTTAATTTCAAAATTTAGATTTTTATCTTTTAAGGTTTCCGTTCAGAAATGAATTAGATTAATTCCAGTCTCTTTAATGGCATTTAGTGATATATAAATAATAAATTTATTTTATCATAAAATTTATTTTATCAACAGAAACACTTCAAAGTTCTGGAATTTACTCGTACAGTAATACTCGTAGTTATGTTCATAGTATCACAGAGTACAATCTTAGTTACGCTTCAAATTACTAAGAAAGTTACACAATGCTATGCAAAGCGCATCTAAAATTGAAAGAGAAAAACTAACCCGGAATTATATCAGATGTCAGGCTGAACTAACAACTTGCAACAGTAACAACAACGACTCAATGCAAATATCTCCAGCCTTATATAGTTTTCAACCGGACGTCGAGATATTTCTAGCACTTTCCTCTTCTCGAAATTACTGGAAAGCAATATGAGGGTCGAATTACGGTTGCGGCTAATGCAGTACTCTATTACATTTAATTCAATTACAATACTTATTACGGTGATACAGGGACCGGACCAAAACGTCGCCAAATAGTCGCCAATGGGCGAGTGTAAAAGTCCTCTCGAGAGGTTGCTGGCAGAAGAAGAAGAATGGGTAACCTTAAGCATAAAGTCAGACTCGCCCGTATGGTGCTCATGTCTCTGGCTAACCAAAAATGCAATCTTGACCACGATATTAATTCGTAGGTTTGTTCTGATTCCATCAGACAAGTGAGATTAGTAACAACAACAATAAAATATACCAGTAAAATATACGTGCTGTTGATATCACGGAATTAAGACTACTTTAGGAGAGCAAAATTAAGGGAAGCTTCATGCCTAGGAGAATATCTTTATGCATCTTTTAAAGTTTCATTTCGGAACTTTAAATATCAGACCACTTAGATACGAAACCTTCTTTACGTGAATTTTATTGTAGCTTAAATAAATTTCCTTATTAGAAGAAGCACGAAATTTAAATTTCTCGTCTTTTTTCAGAGGAAACTTACATTCGTTTACTTGAAATCTATGGCTGAAATCAAAATTTTAATCTGTTAACTAGTATATCATACCCCTTAACGCTTAAAGTGATGTTCGAATCAGATAAAAACGGACTGAAACTCTTTGATCCGGTAGTTGAGAAGCACATAAAGGGGAAACGTATGAGGCATGTCGGACGTCTGGACAACTAGTCATTATCCAATTCACGTGAAACTGAGAGCGTAAGCCGTTAAACATGTAGTAGGAGGAACCCAATTTAGACTGACAGCTTCTCATTCAAAATCACCGCATCTGCAAGATGGTATTAACCGGCCTGCCTGCTGTAACAGCAGACACTTCAGATTTCAACCGTCGTTCGTGATGCTTTTTAAGTGGCGTGATACTTAGAACGGTTTACCTAGATCAGTTACGTTTAAAATTTTGCTCAATTTTTATTAACACAGTAAACATCCTTCTCGGATTATTTCCAAAAAATCTGAACTGTTACGTTAGGATGACATCATTCCCAAATATATGTCAAGCAAGGAGTGTTCCCAAGCATGTGTCATTTATGTTACTTTTTGTTGTCCGACTAGAAGTGTTGTCCCTGGATGAAATATAAAATCTTATTAAATTTATCTTCCGCGCGGCCTCGCTAACAGCCATTTCTCAGATTGCTGGCATTCCACAAAACATAACACTTTAACTATGATTTAAATTTAACTAGTTTACAAATTGCTTTACAAGTTGAAAGATTTAAAAGCAATAAATGCATTTGCTATTTTATTGCACCATACCACACCCATGACCGTTGACTCGAAGATCACCTAAGTTAAATTTACTCTATGCCCCCCCCAGTAGACAACAACGATTTTGAAGGTCGTCTTTAGTTTAATATAAATGAATAATATGTATAATTTATATGATTTTAAATGCATTTAATTTATGATGTATCATATTGATAATTTTTACGAATATTTACAGCATTACGTAAAAATAAAAAATATATTCCTAACAATGAAAATTAGGTTACTGGCATAGAATAATTTCATTTAGTAACTTAAGTTAAAAATGCTAAATTTTTTATTGATTTAAATAAAGCAGACTTTACGCATACACGGCATAGGCAGCCGTTTAGGGCACCGATTTTTAGAGGGCGTAAGGTAAGTGGTTCGTGGTTCGCACAAGCGACTGCTAAATATTTCGCTTTCATTTATTAGTAAGTTTTATTTTCATTGTCTAAATGTACTAATCGCCTAGGGAGTCAAATGTGTCATAGGTCGAACTTGATAAAAAGTGCCGAAAAGGAAAGTCAAAAGTGCCAAAGACGAACTTGACATTAAAAATATATACTGCGGAGAAATTTCTAAATTTCGGGCAGTCATGTTATGACATATTACCAGGCATTTATCATACACATTATAAGGTATTTTCTGCCTCCTTCCAGCATGTCTTCGTGGTGGTAGGACACTCGACGCGTATTCGAGATGTCCAGGTTCGAGTCCCGGCGAGAGGATTGCTCATTTTTCATGTACTCCTGCTTCAAAATAACCTAATGACTCTAAACATGACCTAGAATGTGTTGCTAATAGACGATAAGGAAATCATTCATTTATATTTTATGTGACCTGACAAATAGCCAGCACTCATATTATCCCCATTCTCTCTTCTATAAGATCTTTTCGTTTTAAACTATATTCGTGATTGCTTAACAAACTAAGCAATTAATGTATTTCTTTATCATTTACATTTGGATGCTAGAAAGATCTTTTAAATTTTTTCTAAAATGTTTTGAACGGTTACGTTATGTTAGGTTATCGTTACATTTATCTTTTACGCTACTCACAACTACTGTAATTATGCGAAACGTAAGGTCTTCAAATCATTTTGAACTCGGTGCGGAAAATGGCTTTTTTCTCAAAATGTTGCCATTCGACGTGACATATTTTTATCCTTCAAATTCCAGTTGTTTAAGAAGCTCAGCAGTTTAATAACAATAAAACTCATTTCTCCTTTTTTAATTTTTATTTATTTTAAAATACTTAACATAAAAGCGTAAACATTTGGAATGACTCCTCTAAATATGTTTCGAACTTCAAAATATATTCAGCTAAAGGAAAGTACATGTGTGTCTGTTTAAACATTCTTTCTCAATGTCCGCTTTTTTTCGCAAGTAACTTAATAGTAGAAATAACATAGATCAAAGAACTGAATAATTAAATAAAATCTCACCAAGTTATGAGTACGCCTGTGCCTGTCCAGGCTTCCTGTAATCTTGCTGACTTTGTGCACTGGACTGAAGAGACCATAATTTGGAGAGCATCGGAAGTACCTGCAAAATAATAAATAAGTAAAAATTCATAACAAATCCGAATTTCACGTAAATCGTTCTTTTATTCTGATTTGCTTATTCTCAGGAACATGGATTGAAAATCAGATAAAACGCAGACAATATAATTTCAGATATTATATTACGAATATGAATGATTTTGCTAATTAGGACATTTAAAGCTTCTTTAAAGCTTTGCAACTTTAAAAGTTCTTTAACTACCTTACTGAATTTGATGTTACATAGAGAATACTCCTCCCCCGAAAAAAAAAAAATGTGTAGATTCATGTATACCCTGCTTTTGTTAGCTCATCTTTAACAAGCGTCTCTTTTAACGTCTCTTTGTTAGCATCTTTTGAATCAAATCTTGAAAGAATTTTTTTAATTACTTTTACAGTGTCGATTTCTTTTTCTTATGTACATTGTCCTAAAAATTCCTTGAGATGCCATAAATACGAGTATGTGGAGACATCAGAAGGTCCCCACATGATCTCTAACTGTCTAATAGTCACAATCTAAGGAGGTTTCTGAAGACATCTCTGGGATGTCATAAGTTTATGTCGTAAGTCCTCACAATCGTTTTACAACATTCTCGTACACTAGCACAACGATCTACGAAATATCTAGGGCTATACTGGAATAGGACATTAAGCATTCGAGAGAATGTATTTGGCAATTTAAAGTGGATATTCCGGAATGTCTGAACATGCGCACTCATGCAATGAGCAACATCCTTTTTGAAATCCTGAAAAGGACTTTTGAGCTATGGGGCAATGCATATTTGTTACAGTAATATATGAAGTACAGTACCACAATACTTCACAGAGGTTTTATCCAAATTCGATTTATATATACACTTGTGTTTAATGTTTAAGCCATTTTATGACGAAATTTTCTCACATAGCCATGCTTCATGATCGAAATAACCAACATACATATTCGATCTTTATTCATTATATCGGAAAATAATCTCTAAATTTAATTAATTCACAATCTCTACTGAATTTACCAAACGTTAGCAATTTTCGGAAAATAGATGGTTGGTATACTCACAAAGATTTTAATTTCGATTCGGCGATTTAAAATTAAAATTGTCAATTCAGAAAGTTAAATAATTTAATCCTACAAGACAGGAGGACCTTGAAAGAAATCTGTCTTGCGACATATATATATAATATGAAAGGGATTTAGCATGCTTTTGTTTAAATAAAGTCACTTAAAAAGATTATATAGATATGTTTATACTGCGTTCACGAGATGATGTATTTGCGTAAACAACAATATCAGAAAATAATGTTTGAAGAATGCGACAGTCTTATTCGTAATCCTCAACAGTAAATTTCGCGCCGCAGTCAGCTAACAGGCCTTCCTACATCAACTGTGTATGACGTTGTATATAAGAAATAAATTATATCCCTATAAAAGTCGACTGTTGTATAGAATCAAATGGCATGCAAGAAGCATAGGATTACCTACTCTGATAACATACCAGAGACTTGATAATGAACTAGAATCAAATAAAAATACGCCTATTAGGGAAAGGGTTACATTCTAGGTAAAGTGTTTCAAAACTAGCCATAATAGCTGAAACTGAGTACGCTTGTGATACATGAGAATGTTCAGGATTCCTTTAAGGTCGATGCCTCCAGCGGCATAATGAGTGATAAGATTTTGGGCTCCCTTTTTATTTTTTGTTGAAACTAATATCAGTTGTAATGTACACTTGGATATGCTACAGATACTTTCGTTTTCTCAAAACTGTACAAATGGAAATGAAAGTCCCTGAGTTTTAGATCTTCTTTCAACATGATGAAGCACCATCCTATTTGAAGAATCATGCGTGAAGCAAATTGTCAACATAGTGGATTGGTAGAAAGTAATCTGTCCCATGGCACTCAAGGAATACTCACTAATCTTACCTTACCAAAGCTATTCCTCTCGGGGTTTACCAAAAATGAAGTTTAAAATGCAGGAATGTCAGCTTGTTAGCATGGTGGTAGGTTAGCCGGCTGATGTAACCTTGGGCTCGGATTTGAATCTCCGCGAAGGCCTGAATGCTTTTAGTTTGCATCATGAGAATATATAAAAATACTGTCGAGTCGAAAGCCCACTCACGACGTTGGTGGCAGGGGAAGAGGAATCGGAAACACTCCTTATGGCTTTTTTGAAGTGAGCTAAAAGATTCGTCTTTTAGGCGGATTTATATAAAAATTGGACAGAGCTGGACAAAAATCGAACTGTGATCTATAAAGTTCCACAGATGTGGCAAGCGCCAATGATAGGCGCTACGATGAATTCATGGATCTAATCATGATCGTCTGAGATCAAGAAAATAAGAAACAAGAACAGTAAAAAAATTGATAATCTTGACCACCTTCAAGAAATAATTGTTAAAGCAATGTCACATACTAGCCGTTCTTGCTACAGTATGGACCAATCGCTATGACATTTCTTCTGATATCAATAGAACAGATATTTAAATTTATTATCGTTGTTTGTGATCTTTTCGAGTGATTGAATTAAATAAGAGCTCTTTCAATCCATTTCACATAATACATGCTTTGCAAAGATCTCATGAAATTCCACCAGTGATTGATTCCCTTTGAACCTAATATTATATTTATGTCTCTATTTAGAATTCAAATTTTGCTAATAGAAGTACGATACCAGTTCAAACCTCGCCATTTTTTTAGCTATGGTATTACCTTTATAGAGACGCGATGTGTAAAATCTTTTCTTTTTTAATACTATTGCTTCGAAATGCCTCCGAACTTGGGATTTTTTGTCATCTGGAGCAATTTATGGACGGATGATGTTAGCAGTACACGAAAGCCAGTTTTCCTCTTTCAGGGATGGCATCAACCGTGAGCAGAAATACCTGCAGCAGGATTGCCCAAGGCCGACGCGGGCACAAATCTTGCGGTGACGCATCCATATGCAGGAGGAGAAAACGTGAACAATAAAATTTCGCCACCGGAACCAAGCCGCCTGATCGCACGTCGTGGAAGCGGACGCTATGCATGTGCGGTACCGGTCGATAAGGAAACGGAAAAGTAATGGAATCGTGACTTATTATAAGTGACTCGTGACTGCAGAGTTTTGGCACTGTAGGTGTGGGCAGCTGCTTTCGCCGCCTTTGATTATTCTTTTATTAGAAACCAAAGGGTAAATTTATAATTCGAGGCGCATGTCTGTGAATGAGGATTTATTTATGAAAATAGGAAAAATTTCAGAGATCGCTAAGCTGTATACTAGATTTAAGAAATGAGCAAAAAGTACTAGTTATTTGATATTAGAAACATCTTTAGCGAGGTCTTTCCAAAATTTTTTTATTTACGTTATGTTACAATATTATTTCCAAAATGTTCGAATCGTTACTTTCTTTACGTCACGTTATGATATTCTATCCAAATTTTTGGATTACTCATGTTTCATTAGGTTACCATGCAATTACAATCCACGGGTCTTCGTAAGTGACATCATAAGATCTTAAATTTACTTGTCACGGCCATGTAGATAAACAGTTTTCGGAGAGCTATTATTCTCAGTGGCATAAGATCTTAAAACTTATCTTTCAAACAATAATTACATTGGTCAGCAAGATGAGTGATTCGAAAATGATAAACGTACTTTAAAATAGTTTAAATCTTTATTTTATTTTAAATCTAGATTTAAATTATTTTAATTATTAAAAAGGCTACCTAATCATGTCAGTCTGATAGATTATTAAATATTTTAATTAATTAAAGTATAAATAGGTGTAATTTAAAATAAATTTAGTTTACGATATTTCAGATCGCTACAACCATGGAAATTTTATGACTTTCCAAAACTTTTCCTATTTAATTAGACACCATATTGCTCGAAATATCCTCAAAGGCACTTGCATGATGTTAACATTACGAAAACATCTAAAAAAGGAAGTCGCAAATTTGAAAATTTGCTCTATGAAACAACACTAAATGCTTTCTGGTAAAGACAACCACGTTTCGATTGGTATGCATTTAACCTATCTATTTCTTTTAGGCTCGCTTGCCCAGAAGATAAAAAGATAGGAAACAGTACTTAATTATATGACTCTATAACCGTTAAAACAGAACCATTTATTGAAGTTATTTGTTTACTAAAAACTAAAGAACACTGAAAATGTATTTCATGTTAACAAGTAAAGTCAGGCTCCGGCAACCTCTTTTTGGCTGCCGGACAAAATCAATTAAAATATGTGCATTAAGATGATGGTTCGGGTCAGAAGTATTTTCATTTTAGAACAGTCTTTCTTTGTGAATAAATAATAAGGTAAATTTTATTAATAAAATAATTACAATATGTTTTAAACTTTGAACATAAAAATTAAAATCATAATTAAAAAATCTGAAAGCTTTCAGATTTTGTATTACGCGCAAAGGGGCGTTTTTTTAACGTTTTGTGTGTTACCTTTATTTATTAAATATCATGCCCTTCGTACTTAAACCATTAAATATAATTCAATAGCAATATCACAAAATAATTTAAAAAGAGCATACCTTTAGAATTTCCAATTTCACGCACTGGAGATAAAAGTGTCCTTTTTCGTACAGTGTTACCACTGCTCTCTTTGAAATCGTTGAGTTTCTTAGTCAAAAATTCGTTAAAGTTTTACAGAATATGAAACAGATAATAAAACAAATCCCAAATTTCGGCTTCCAGATTCCCATATTCGAGTGGAGGACTACGTTTTTCAAAATTTGATGGCTCTAGGTACCGTTGTTTTGTCACAATGCGAGAAACATACATACATTCATGGAGATTCTTCATTATTTAATTTCTTTAATTACGCAAAATGCCAAAACGAAATTAATAGCCCTTCTGGACAAATTGTTCCTTTGGGCTAAATAATTATTAAAAAAACACACATATCTGAATTAATTTTTTTTTTCTCTTCGATATCAAAGTTTCCTCTGATGCTGAACTTGTGACGTCAATTTAGTCAAGTCTGTCTTACAGTAAGTCAGTCATCTTAAGAA